TTCGCATGAATGTTATATGTCCCCCTCCGTAATTAGCGATAAGTAGACGGAAGAGTATAAATGGGGGATCTTTATTTTAAAATTTTGCCACAATCCATGGGAGATTTTGAAAATTCTCGCAAAATCATCAAGTCATACATACTCCCCTTTCTTATGTACCCTTATTATACATCAAACTCCTTACAAAATAAAAATTACAAAATAAAACTCACTCCTCCTCTTTCCTTCGCAACTCTTCTTCGTGGCGGACCTCCTCATCGCGCCGGCTGTCCTGCGTCTCTTTTAGCTCCTTCTGCAGCTGGGCGATCAAATCTTGCTAAAAAAAATCACTTGAGAGCTTGTGGCTTTAGGTCAAGAGGAACGAGAAAAATACAGCTTAAGTGGTTTTTGCAAAGACAAGCCAGCAACAGCCAAGGCTGACGATGGTTCCCTCTTTCAAGAATTACTTAGAAAAAGCAAGCTAATGGCGGATTTGGAAACAAACGAACGCACTGCAAAAGAGGATCGACTTTCTCATTTATAAAATCGAAATGTCAACCTCAAAAAAAACCCCACCAGCACGAAAATTTTGAGGAAGAAAAAAAAAGAGATATATATGCAAATTTTTTGTTGTAAATTTTACCGCTCGACATCAATTTTTGCCACTTGAAGAGTATATTTCTAATAATAGCTAATTGCCAGTAACATTCACAAGATTTTGGTCATATTAAAAAGAAGGAGAAAACTTACATCTTTTTTACGTCCCTCGCTCGTCGACCGCAACAATTCCCTCAGTTCTTCCTTCTCACGCTCAAATTCGTCGCAGCTCTTTTCCAATGCGTTAATTTTGCTCTTTTTTTGCTGCAATTCCAATCGCAATTCCTGCAAACTATCAAACTCCCATCAGTACCCGGAACAGCTGCTAATACATGCTCTTATTGGGTTTACTGGCTACGCGTTTTCTTGACTGGGCTATAACTCGGAGTAGTAACAAGGTCCCTCTCGTAAGTCGACTGGGTCGCCTCCACAATTCCGCAACCCTACACTGGACCGATACTAATTTACATCGCGGCCTTATATATGCCACATTCGTGTCATTACACGAACCTACCTAGGAGGAAGTCATGATGCAACAGTCTAGCTTACCATCTGTGGCAACTAGCAGCTTTTTTTTCCCCGCTAATTACAGAGATAGCATTTCATTAAACAATTTCAACACAGAAGAGGAACCTCATTCGCTGCTTCGAGAGCGGCAATTTTGTCCTTGTACTCGCTCACAGTTAGGCCTGTCGCTGAAGCAGTGCTACTGTTGCCCGAATTTTGCTCCAGCTCTTTGAGCTCGTTTGCCTTTTCAGCTGTTGCCTTAAATAGAATTGACTGCGCAAAGACTTAAAAGCTTAAATTGATTTAAATCCACTTATGCTAGGATGAAATTCGTCAGTGCAAATTTGTTCGGGGCCCGACAACTTCCTTCGCTTCAGAAGCATTGTAAATTAGCGCATTAATCCTGTAGTCTTTCGAATCAAATGATATCTCATTTGAATCAAATGGATCAAATGCTACGAATCAAATGTAAATATGTTGTTTTGGTTTGCTTCAAGCAATACAGCCGCCGGTGAGAAAATCAACCAAACTAAGTCTTAGATATCTGCTCCTTCAACTCTCTCTCTCTCTCTCTCTCTCTTAAACCGTACTGCAAATTTAGATGACCATTAGAGATGATTTTGAATTTCCACACGATTTTCCTAAGCCAAATTTACCGGAAAACCCAAAATTTTCTGGAAGAATTACCTGCAACGTGGTGCC